AGAAATAATCTGTCATAGGGAACCCGAAAGGGGCGCTGTGGGGTGCTAACACCTTCCCCACGCGTAACCGACTCCCTTACCCAACTCTGGTTGTAATGGCCGAAGTTGATTTATAAAATCAATTGCCTTATCCCTTTTTCCAATGTTTTGAGTAAAACATTGGTGGCGACTCCATGAACCCCTCCTTTTGCGAAAACCACTAATCCATGGAGGGTCCCGCTTGGGATTAATATGGATTGGTGAATCATTTTAATAAAATTGCTCGTTTGACGAGGTCTCAGTTTGAGAATAAGTCATTCTAGCAAACCATATTTTTTAAACAAATAAACGAGTCCAACCATCATTCGCGAATGCCGAAAGCCCGTTTCGGGCCGGTGGCGACAGGTCTCATGGGCCATTTTGGAGTTGATAAAACTCTAAGTTTTATAAAAGAAATATTTTATTGGCCACACATGAGAGTAGATGTCCAAAGGTATTGCTCTTAATTCATAGCTTGTTTACAAACAAAATCTAAAGTTATGCCTCATGGACTCTACACACCTCTACCAATAGCTAGCACCCCTTGGATTGACATAAGTATGGATTTTGTACTTGGTTTCCCAAGAATCCAAAGGGCCTACCACACATTGAATTTTCATATAATAGGGTAGTGCATAAAACAACAAAATGTCTCCATTTGAAGTGGTCTATGGTTTCAATCCTCTTACACCTTTAGACTTGATTCTTCTCCTTCATGTTGCTTCTTTTATTCATAAAGAAGGATCATCTAGGACTAAGTTTATTAAGAAATTACGTGAAAGGGTTAGAGAACATATTCAACTTCAAACAGAGAAATACACCAAATACAATAATAAAGGAAAGAAGGAAGTTATCTTTAATGAAGGAGATTGGGTTTGGCTTCACCTTAAAAAGAATAGGTTTCCTTCTTAGAGGAAGTCCAAACTCAATCCTAGAGGAGATGGTCCCTTCTAAATCCTCAAAAGAATAAAAAATAATGCCTACATCCTAGATCTTCTTAAGGAATATCAAGTGAACCCTAGTTCTAATGTTTCTTATCTATCTTCTTTTCTATGGGCTAGTGATTATGAGGAGGAGTCTATGGATTTGAGGTTAAGTCCTCTTCAAAAGGGAGGGGATGATGGAGGACCATGGACTAAAGGTCCAATTACTAGAGTTATGCTTAGGAGGATGGAGGAATAGTGGGTTAACATAGAGGAGGTAAAGCCCAAGGCATTTTTTAGTTGGGTTGTGCCTTGAAACCCATGTAGATTAGGGTGTTGGCCCATGTGGGCTTGTACTTGTTTTTATGGGCCTTGTATTTTGGCTGTGTAGTTTAGGATTTCTTTAGGCCTTGTATTTTCAGCCATTTAGGTTAGGTTAGGAGTTCATTAGTGTGAGATTACATTACATGAGTATTTGATGGAAATGGATTGGATAAGTGATGAATGTTTTCCTCTAAGCTTCATCTCCTTTGTCCAATCTTCTCTTGAGGTTGAACCTTGAATTCGGAAGCAAGAAATCAAGCTTCAAAAGCTTGAGAAGCACCTCTAATGGTTTGGTCTTCTTCTTGAAGGAGAAGAAGAATGTGAGGAACCAAGGCACAAAGGAAGGATTCCTTTGTGAAGGATCTTAAGGGGAGAGGGTTCTCCACGGTTTTGAGACTCTTGAGGGAGAGAGAAATTTCTGAAATTCAATCTCATAAATGTTAAAAAGTGATTACAAAGGTAAGAGAAAGATTTATATAGAGTAGGAAAACTTGTGGTGCAAGCTAAGCTAACTATGGTTCAAGAGAACCATGGTTAGCTTAACTTGACCGACCTAGTTGGTTAAGGAGGCTTGTGGAGCAAGCTTCTAACTTAGAAGCTTGGGAAGCAAGATAAGTTAGAAGCTTGTAGCACAAGCTTCCCAAGTGTGTAAGGCAAGCCAAACAATTCGGCCAAGGGAACTAGGCTAGGCGGCCAAGGCTTGAATTTCATATTTAATCCAATCCAAAAACTTGGAATTGGTTTAGTTAGGTTCACCAAATGATGGTGAGACTTAGCTAAATCAATTCCTTGAAAAATATGGAAGAAAACAAGCCTAATATGTAAAATTTAACCTAGGCCTAATTCTGGGCCAATTACTAGTTGCACTTACACACCTTGTTATTTGTCACCCCACTTCTACTACTGAAAATATGAAAATGAATGACCCTTAATACAAGGTCAAATGGAGCAAAAGTCTCCAAGTAACATACCCTAAAATCTAAAAGGAATATCATATAATGAAAGAAAGAAAATGCCTCATAAATGCAAAGGCAAAATGAACCTATACAATGAACTACTATATACAATCACATGCAAGGTCTTCAAAATCAACCCATTTCTCTTGGATCCTTCAATATATCACCTCTTGATCTTCTTGACCTTGGCATGGTTCCATCAGTATTTGAATTACATTTGAAGTGAATTTAGAGGCCATGTGGCCGGTCAATGGTAGCGCACATGGCATGACCTAAATTCACCTCCAAATGCAACTCAAATAACATGCAAATGTGGTGATCACATGGAAGCACATGGAACACATGATGAGCTAGAGTTTTTGGACCCAAATTTGCATTTGGAATTCAAATTTGGGCGCCTAAGATTAAATAAAATATACCATGGTTTATTTTAACCTTAGGTTTAACCTAGCTTGCTTGGCACACATCCTATGCCTATATAGTCATTATGACCATGTATTTTCACCACTTTGAGCATTTTATGAGAGTTTATACTTCAAAAATTCTCTCTAGTCGAAGTCACTTGAGGATCTTCTTCCATTCACCTTGAGATTTCTTCCTTGTAGCCTTAGGTCCTTGGACACTTCTATCTGAGGAGCTTAGTTCAACCTTAGGCAACACTTTTCGGATCAACCTTGAAGATTCTCAAGGAGTTCAAGAGAAGGTTGAAGGAGCAAGTTCAGAGTTGGCAACTGAAGCTACTTGAACTCCATCATCATGCAACCACCATTGCCAACCATAATAGATGGAACTATGGGTACATAATGTAGGTTTAGATGTTTGGAAATTCTTAATTGAATGATATTGTGAGAGCTTCCAATATCAAAGGTCATGATTGAAAGCCCTTAGGGGTGCGTCTTGGAACTTAAGAGTTGTGGTGGAAGGAAGCCCTGAAAATGCTCAAGGGGAAAGTTGAAAATGAATTGCTTCCTTTAGTGAAGCAATAAAAATGTCCTCTTGAATTATTTTACACTTGCAAAAAATATATTCTTGTTAAATTAAAAATGATTTTATTTCCACTGCTTTCTTCTTAGACACATGTTTCTAACAATGATTTAGCCAAATCATTAGTCAATCAATATCATGACTTTGTTAACATCAAAGTTGAAATGGTTTACGTTCATAAATGTTTATAGTTTAACACTAATATACACTTAATATTTTCTACTAAGACCTCAAGGGTATATACTCTTATTACACTCATGGTAAAAGAACTATTGAATTAATTGAATTGAGATATTAAGTATTATGCTTAAGTGAGAGATTTTATGCTACTCTTGATTTTTCAGAACTTTTTATTTTTATCAAAGATCGCTAATTCTTTGTGAATAATACTCTTACTTATCAACCAATCTTGATCATGGCTTGTTCTTGATCAATTCTCATCTATTCACTTATCATTCTCTTGTTTGTTGGAGTTTCTTCGATGGTGAAGTTGATGACGAATTCCAGAACGGTGTAATTCGTTTAGACCGAAGGCTAGGACGTTCATCTATGCTTAAGCGTATCAAATCAAAAAAGGACGAGACAATTTAGGCTGCACCAATAGCACTCACAACGAAGATTTAGCGGCCAAGACAAAATCAACACCCTCAATATTTTGAAAAACTCAATTTAATAGTGATGCACGTGTGCTTCTATGCTTATAAAGTGAATATACTCACTATTTCGTGCTAGAGGACTGATGAAATTTGACTTCTTGTAGTGCGTTTTACATAAAATTTAACATAGGAATTGAAACTTATCTTTAGGTAGCATGCGACTCAAAATGATGGATCGGTTTTGATAGGGAAATAATTCTCTAAAGATATACTATGTAACAGAAATTAAAAAAAAAATAGTAAAGAAGAATTGCTTAGTTTTTAATATTTTCCAAAAAGAATTTAGACTAGATTACAAATTTAGTTCCTGTTTAACTCTTAGTTCGTAATTTTGATGCCTCTATTTTTAAGTATACAATTTTGCTTCTCCAATCTTAATCCAACCGTCAAATTTGTAATAAAAAAAATAGATGAATTAAAAATTTATTTACTGAATTTTTATCTATATTCAATTTTAGTCTCTGAACAAACTTTTTACTAGTTATAGTCCCTGAACGTTCCTCCTATTAACAATTTTGGTTTTAGGGTAAAAAATTTTGTTCAGGAAAGAAAATTTTAGAGACTAAAATCAAATAAAATTTTGTTCAAGAACTAAAAATGAACATTGACAAGTTCAGCAACTGAAAACATGTAATCCAAAATAGATAGTCAAGATTAAATAGAATTAAACAAGACAATCGTGACCGTGCAAGTATACACGAGCGCAAAACCCATTCGTAAAAGGACCCAAATAACATTGAATACATAAATAAATAAATAAATAAATAAAATGTTAATTAATCATTTTGACAAAGACTTGCAAAAATCCCTAATTTGTATAAAATACTCGCCATATATATAATGTTTGCAAAATAGCACTGCTACAAATTTATGAAGCAGACCTAACAGTTTATGATATCAGAACAAGATATAAAATTTGAAGAGTGAAACAAATTCCAGCCAAACTGAAATTAACGCAGTGCTATAGCTTACTCTTCTAATGCAATGCTAACAGTAAAATAGCTGAGAGCTCACAACAGCATGTTTCAAATCACAAGTTTTTGAAAGCAGACTCATGACTCGCCTTTTGTGGGGTGAGTCTAGCCAGAAGTGCCTTATTGTGGCAGTGCTCGGTGTCCACAAAGTAAAACTTTCCATTGGCCTTAAATGTCACAAAAGGCCTATTGGTTTCTGGTGGTCGAATATCAGAAAATTTGATAGTCTTTGGAATGTAAGTTGCCAGCCAGGACAACATCTCCACCTCGAAGCTGTCCGAACCTGGCTGCCACCTGAGTTTGTGAATGTACGGGCTAACGAACCAGTGAAGGGCGCCAGTTGTAGAAGCACTCAAGAATATCACAGTTGATGCTACTGCACCTTTCAGAATGACATTCATATCAGGGGATGTCATGAAAGTTATGACTGGACCGAGCGACACGGAGAGACAGCATGTTGAGAGAGACAAAAGTTTTACTTTCTTTATGGTATTTGAGATCGGGCCATAGTAAACAACTCCTGTTTCCTTGTCACCTTCGCTTGATTGTCCTCCACTATGAGGTCCGATGCTAATCTTGTTGTCTTCCTCAGTGGTTGGGGCTTGTGATGCCCATCTTTGGAAAACAGTAAGATGGGAGGGAGTTCTAAATGAATGATTGGTGTTATTGGGCCGTCCACAGGTCGAGGACCTAAAACAATGATATGCTGAACCATGGCAACAAATATATACAAGTAAAAACAAAAACATTAATAGATATATTGGTTAAAATAAAAAATAAATAAAAACTCAACCAGTCTTAGCATTCTACCCAAGGAAGAGCTCTACAAAGTTACTCAAGAACAAATAATCATTTGATATAATAAGCATAACTTTAGTACTGAATGGGAGGGGAATAATAAAATGGTAAATTAGCAATGAAAATTTTCAAATAAAAAATGAAACATGATACAAGTGGTGTTTTCTCAAGATAAGAAACCGTTAAATGGCTTACATGAGTGATCATTGGTTCACTGTAAGCATAACCCTGTCATTTTTCTATCTCCATATTATGGTTTGGGTGTTTAGAGTTATTTATTGGATCCTGATTTGAAGTTATGCAGGAAGTCTGTTTCTGCCATTTACTATTACTTTATGTCATTTGATGGGTTTTGTTATAGTTGACAGAGTATTAGCATTTGGCAACAACTGATAAAATGATGAAGATGGCTGGGAAATTGGAACCTATAAGAGAATATCATTTCTCAATTTTTATTTTTCGTGTATTTCTGTTTCTATTGTTTGTTATTGCTAAATTGTTATAACCGGCTTATGGTTAGTTATAACAACTAGTCTTGAACCTATTCCTCTAATATAAATAGAACTCATGTATAGAGGATAGGTATCAATACATTTTGTATAATTCTACTTTCATAACAGCAATAACAAATGCAATTCTCTCAAGTTCAGTATTCGAACATGGTTTCAAGAGCCTAGAACCTAGTGTTTTTCCTTTCTTTCATCATGAATCCTTCAAATCCACCGCCAGCCCCGCCACACTCCTTGTTGGCGCCTCCAACAGTACCTTCATCAAGACTTCTCACATTTTCTCATTTGATCACTGAGAAACTCACCAAAGACAATTTTCTTCTATGGCGCCAACAGATTGAACCTGTCATCAAAGGTCATCCTCTTCATTCTCTTTTGGTGAATCCTCATATTCCTTTGTGATTTCTTTCTGAAGAAGATTGTGCCACTGGATAGGCAAATCCAGTGTATTAAGCATGGGAGCAACAAGATCAATTGTTACTTTCTTGGTTGCAATCGACACTCACAAGTAATATAGTCACACAAATCATAGGTTGTGTGCATTCTTGGGAACTTTGGGAGAAACTTCACGAGCACTTCAATGCGCACATGCAAGCACAAGTTATTTGCGTACGGAGCTACGTAACACAACTCTTGAAGGAAAAAACCATGGATGAGTTTCTTGCTCGAGTCAAAGCACTAGTTGTTTGTCTCTCATCGATTAGGGATCCTATTTCTCCACATTAACATCTTGAGGTTCTTCTACATGGCTTACCATGCTATTACAAATCCGTGGTAACCCCAATTAGCAGCAAATCAGTTCCACTACAGGTACCAAAGGTTGGAGCACTTCTTGCACATGAAGCTCAGATCAAACAATACAATAAACAAGCAGTAATCGACTCAACATCAGTTAATTTGACTCAAACAGTGACTTCCAAAACACCACAATAAGTCTTGCACAGTTCTGAACCACTCAAGAAAATTTTACACGGGCTCCTAATAATTCTTTCAATGATGATTATGTGTCTAATACATGCAGAGGTAATCAATTTCGCGGAGGAGGTTGTATTGGTTGGGGAAGGTCACGACATGGATGTTTCTCCCTTCAACGTCAAGTATGTTCCAGATACGGACACTTTGCACTCAACTACTATGATTGTTTTGATCCAGCTTATGCCGCCACAACTTGATCTGAACAGTTCAGACAGCAACAAAATTTCTCCTACCAGAACCATTTTTCAACACCTATAGGAATTCCTGTTCCTTCTCATCCACCACAAAATTAATCACAAACCCCACACTATTGTCCTGCGACACAAACTTTTTCTTAGGCGATGATTGCAAATACTGCACCTGTGAATGCTCCAGCACAAGTATAGCACAAGTATGGTATCCTGGCTTTGGCACTTCACATCATGTCACAAATAGCTCTGAAAATATTCACCAATTTCAACCTTTTGAAGGACCAGACCAAATTCAAATCGAAAATGGCCAAGGTTTGAGCATCAATCAAAAACAATTAAACAAGCTCTTCAAGGCTCCAATTGGCATGCAGCCATGCAGACTGAATTCACAGCACTATAATAGAACAAGAGATGGAAACTGACCCCTCTCCCACCTGGCAAAACACCCATTGGATGTAAATGGGTCTTTCATGTAAAGAAAATGTTGATGGTTCCTTAAATAAATACAAGGCAAGGTTGGTTGCCAAGGGTTTCAACCAACAATATGGGTTTGATTTCACATAAACATTTTCCCCTATTATGAAGCCTGTCACTATAAGAATCATTCTAACCTTAGGCTTGACTCATGGCTGGTTTTTATAGCAACTAGACATACCTTGGGACAGGATTGTGGTATTCTTTTAATTATGGTGCTCTGCTATAATAGTGGTTTCAAGAGACCTTTTGTCTTATTTGGTTTGAAGAGATAGGGAAGGGGAAGAAGATAAACGAAAACAAGAAATCATATTTGTATTATTTGATATTTGGAACAAAAAAGAATGAAGTACACAAGTGTACCCCAAAGAAGCATCCTCATGTCGAAACTACCAATTAGAAAATTCGCTCCCATCTGTATATCCAGAAGGGTATTCATGGCCAAAACTAAAAACTTGTATCATTACCACTAATCTGCCCTTTTATTTTTATCTCTCACAATAGACCCTGTAAGGCCTGTTCGGGAACTGCATTCTCATGCCAAACAATTTCCATATCTGCATTATATAGCAATTGAGAAGCCTTGCTGCATTTTGTACTCTTGATGTATTTTCTATTTATTCCTTGAAGAATTTCCTATCCTCTTAGTAGCTGTACTTTGTGTCTCTTCTTTCTCAAAAAATTAAACTTTTTATCATAAAAATTTTCATCAATAAAAACAACCTTTTCTTCCATAAATTTATGTCAATGAGGTTTGAACTTATTACATCATGTAACCTTGAAAACCACCTCTTATATTTTTCTCATTAAATAATCATTTTGCAAGTTTAAACGAAAACCTTACATGAATTATAATTTTAGTCGAAGGCAATATACAACTACAGAGCATTTCTTTTCACCCTCACTTAATCAAGGGCAGAAAAAGCTGGTCTTGATCTGGGCAATACTGGTAAAATTGAAGTAATTTCACAAGCACAATACTAATATATCAACAAAAAAAAAATCTTTTATATACTAAACCAACAGTTTTGAATTCCGACAAGACTATTAATCAACCATAACCTGACTTTAATTCAAACCAAGGTAATTTTGTTGTGACATGGACTGTTCATACCAATGATCTACAACTCAACATTGGTCAATATCTCACAGAATTTCAGAACGAATTCCGATGAAAATGATCCAAACCCCTATTCATGGTTTTAAAGCCGTGGGACACGATTTTCACTACAACATCAACGATTTTGGGCTCTCTGTATTTGTTCTCAATTTCTCGAAATACCAAGGAATCCCCGAGACCATTTTTTAAACCCCCTAATAATAGATTTAAAATCTGACTCACGTTGCTCAAAATTATATAGAATCTTGTAAATCATCAATCATTTTTTTTCAGCGCCTTAAAAAATTAAAATGTAATTACTGGCGCCGATTCTTGGGATGCCACAAAAAGAAACGAAAAACCCAGAAAGAGATCATGCAAAGTTTAAATCTTTTCAGGTAATGTTGAGAACGCAGAAAAAGCAGCGAGAGAAAGAGCACAACGAAAGACAGTGAAGAGAGTGAACCTGAAGGGGTGTTTGTGAACACGTGGCGGCGACTCTGTGACCGCAGCAAGTAAAGGAGAGCTGCTCTAGCCATTGCTGCGCTTCAAAATTACACTGTCACACACCAGTATGGGCATTTGGTCTAGTGGTATGATTTATAGGGTGCAAGAGGTCCCGAGTTCAACTCTTAGAATGAACCTATTCTTTATATATATACCCTCTTTAAGTCTCACAACTTTATCAAGTCTACGTAGTATAATATATGTTTCATTATAATAAAAATTTTAATAAATAAACTTATTTTTAGGGGATGTTTGGTAAAGAAGAAGTTTTTTTATATTTAGGAATTATGAGTTTTAGATTAATTAAAATATGTTTAATTATTCATTAAGGCTTCTCAGAGTATTTATATAGGATTCTCGAGAATTAAAAATTTTTCGACAAGTTAAAATATGTTTGGTTACTCATTAAGGTTCCTTAGAGTATTCATATAGGATTCTCGATAATTAAAGATTTTCATATTTAGTTACACTACTATTCATATGAGACTAATTAAAATACGTTTGGTTACTTATATAAGATTCTTGAGAATATTAACTTACCAAGTTGTGATCCTTAATTCTCTCAAAGTAAATAGCAATATTAGTAGTACCTCTAAGATATTTGAAAATAAATTCATAACAGTTAAATGTGTCTCCCTTGGATCAGATTGAAATTTGGCTCATAAGCATGTGATGTACATTATATCAGGTTTGGATGAAGTAAGGTAGAAAGGGTATCCTATCATTCCTCAGTACATGGTTTAATCTACCTTCTTTGATTCTTCATTCATTTCTAAAGTGGTCGATGGATGCATAGGTGATGGAACTAGCTTCAAGAATGATTGATTTCTTCTCGTAGCTTCTTCCTACTCTGTTTATCTTCATCCATGAGAATCTTTGAAGAAGAATGAGCTCAAAAATGGTTGAAAGGATGAGTAATGGTGGCTCTATTTCTAAAGAGAAGATAAGCTAAGAAGGTTTCTCACCATAAGGAAAGGATCATTGATAAGAGATTCAAATAGAGTTGCACTTAAATACATGAACTCTGAGACTATTGAAGTCTGAGAGAAAATCATCTTGTAAAACCCTAATTTTTATATTACTTATCTATATAATTTTTTGCAAATTATTATATGTTTTATTGTAATAAATATTATGCAATTTATTGTGAATGAAATTTATGTAATGTAATCTAGTAAAATTTTATGAATTTAGTGACATGAATTTTATTGCCAAAATTAATTATTCTCTAGACAGTGTTGTGAATAGGTAAAATGTGAGAAATTAGATTTAAGAAAGTTTAAGTTAGGAGAGAAAAACTTAAAATTAGAATTTATTGAAATTTTCTAAGGATTTAACAAAAAAATTATTTTTCTAAAATATTAAGTTAGAAAATTATAAAAAAAATGTTCGATGTGCAATATAGGATTTTATCTTAATTGTAGTATGTTTAGAATAATAAATAAAATTGTCTAAGAAAAAGTAAAAATTCAAGTTTCAACCAATCAAAATATTCTTTTTAAGCAATTTCTAAATAATTAAATCAAAATTAATTAAATAATTAGGAGATGATTAAGGGGTTTATTCCTATGTTTTTGCAAGTGAGGAATTTAATTATGAATTTAGTTTTTCATAAATTTAATTAGATTGCTAGACAATGTAAATATTTCTAAAAATTTCTAGAAAATGCTACAAAATCCTATAAAGATGATTTAATAAGAAAAATCAAAGGATGACTTATTTTGAGAGGCCATTTGACTAAGAGTCTCGCCACAAAATGGGTTAAAACACTTGACCAAAATGTGGCCAAAAAGTATGCCGGTGGAAAGGCTAAATAAATTGAAAAAAAAATTGAACTAAAGTCATAACATAAAAATCAACACAAAATAAAACTATGGAGAAAAGATAGACACTAAAAGGGGGGTTGAATAGTGTATATCAAAAACTCACGTTTTCAAGTAAGTGAAGTAGTATCTACAATAGACGAAGGGTTAGTAAGAGTAATCAATGAACATAGTGTTTTTATACTGGTTCACCTGAACCATCGAGGTTATGTCCAATTTTCAATCCATCCAAATTGAGTTCTACTAATTTTTAACAAAGTTACAAGTATTCTTTTACTAAGCCACTTCTAGCTTAAACAAGTGTTCTTTAACTGGTCTCTTCAAGTCAAAACCTAAGTATTCTTTTACAAACAAGCCTCTCGAAGCTCAACCTGAAGTATTCTTTTATAGATAAGCCTCTCCAGGCTCAAACCAAAGTATTCTTTTATAGATAATCCTCTCCAGACTCAAACCTAAGTATTCTTTTACAGTCAAACATCTCTAAGCTCTATCCTATAACAATAGTTATGAAGGTATCACAAGATTGCAATTCTTGTCTCTTTTAGACGTGATTACAACAAATCATTTTAGTACAAGAAAGCTCTTGAAGAAGATATTCTAAGAGATGTGTATTGTATCTCATAATTTTTATATATTTAGATTCTATGCTCTATTGTGTTTCTTCTAAGTTTTAGAGCTTCTCATATAGTAACTTTGAAAGAGATGACCATTATAGCTTCTTGAGTCTAATTCATAGAGTTGCTTTGTCTTAATCCTTCATACGATCTTTAGAGAGAGGAAGTATTCGTTGGTGCATTAAATGATTCAATTAATTTTTTCACCTAAACGTACTCCTTATCTTTGATAGATCAAGCTACTTATTAGAGCAAAGTAGCAAAACAAGAACAACAGGAAACAAAGTCAGTGTGTAGGCAAGAATATAGTCCTTTTTCAATGCCTCTTTTGTGAAATTCAAGATTTTTTTCCTTTGTTCTACTACTTTTCATGATTTTATACACTTTTAATAGAATGTGAGTTCCAAGACAACAACTTTTGATCTGTTAAGGTATAAAGCATTCATTTGAAAATTTAAAATGGTCAGTCACAATAAATAATGATCGTTACGAACAGTTTGTATCTTTCATCTAATTAGTTTCGTCTTACAAATGCTACTTCATCTTTCATAGTCTGAAACAATGACTTTTACAATGCATTTTCTTACTAAAAACTGTAGTGTTTGTTATCCTTAAAACTTATAAAAATGAGAGATATAAGATTATCTTTTGACTTAACAATCTCCCCATTTTTTATGGTGACAAACACATTTTTTTGAATAAAGCTTATTTTACCGTTTTGTAAGAAAACTTTCGATCTTGGTTAGATTAAGACAGTTTTTTGCATGATTTTTGAGAAAAATAATTTTTTTAGCTTAGAAATATTTTGTGTTTAAGCACAAGCTCTTTGCTTCTTTAGACAAGGTAAACCTTACTACCAAAGATGTAACATTTTAAACATAAGTAGTTTGTTGTAGGGAGTAAGTCTTTGAAATCTATAATCAAACGAACTTAGCATGATATATAGACTTACGAGACTATGCATGGTTATTCGCATACATATATACTTGCGTTTACGAATGTTCCTAAATCTTGCATTCAATATAGATAAGTCATATAGACGATACTTCAAATGAATGCAACAAATTAGGTAGGGAAACTCCACCTGAAAACATGCATGTTCTAGTGCATATTCAAGCAATTGTGAAAGCATGTTATTGTGTCAATCATGTGTGAAATATGTGTAGTTTTTGGCATACATACAGATTGTGAGTGTAAAATAATGCAAGGCATAATAGTGTAGATTGCAGATAAAATCAGAAACTGCAAAATAAGTCAGAGTAATCCCAAAATTCAAAAATATACTAAAACTCATAAAATAAAAATAATATAAACTAAAATTTAAAAATTCAAAAAAAAATATACTCTCATAAACTAGGCGTGTCCCTAGTGGAAGCCTAAGTGACACTTGGAGCCCTTTAAGACACTTCCACAAGTACTAATGAATACTAAGTTTCACCAATAATACCTAGGAGAGGTGGGAAAACACTAAAGGCTTCCCAAAATACTCATAAAGGTCAAGTACAAGCTTAAGAAAAATATGAAATGTCAAAGAAGTTAACCCACAATGAAACTAAATGAAATATAACGAATTTTGTAATGGATTGGCTTGCAATGGAAAAATTACGTCTCTAATTTTGTTACTATTTCCTGTTTTGAAATTTTCCCTACATGAACACACAAGTTAGCCTCACTAACATGTTTCACTCGGGCTTTTAGGTGCCTTTATCTCCAAAAAGTTGTAGCCCCCTTTGATGTAGTTCCAATATGTCTCAATTATCAACTTCTTTCCAAGTGTGAGAACTAGAAAATGAACCTATCACCACCAAGAGTTAACAATCAACAAGAAAGAATGGAAGCCAATAAAATTAAGACTAAAAAGAACAATTAGAAGAGGCTAAACTCAAATAGGAATAAATGTGACAAATTTAAAGAATATTAAAAGACACAGCAAGAAAATAAAGGACAATTTCAACACTAGCTTTCAAAGGAATAGTCCTAGAAATGGCACTAGAGTTGATTACAAAATGAAACAAAAATTAATTTTTGCTAAAATTTTGAATGATTTTAATGTGTTTACAGCCATCAAACAAAAAGTACATAAAAGGAAAAACAATACACAAAAATTCACAACACCAAGTGCTTTAAACTTTCCTTGTTTTATACTTTTGTTTTTCTAGCTTTTGCTTTTGTTTTTTCTTTTTTACTTTTGTTGCCTTCTTGGCTCTTTCTTTCTCTCTTTTTTTTACACTGAATATGAGAACTAAATAGAGGCCTAAAAATGAATTAAAAAGGTTTACAAGTAGTGGAAAAGAGGTATACAAAGTGTCAGTCTACTAGATAAGTTTATATGTTACTAGTAACTAGTTTTGCTTCTAGTTTGTTCTCTTTTTTGTACAATTTCGTTAATTTTTGTTTCACACTTCCTAATTTGATTGTATATCTTAAACAAAGCACAAAAGACTCAAGGAATTTCTGGCCTTAAATTGCTAAGTATGAGTTAGCAAGTGAAGTTCACAAAATATGACACTAAAACATGCTAGATCTAGTAACATGCATAGGAATCATTCAATGAGCACTTTTAAGAATATTAATATGTGCAGCCAGCAATATAACCAAACTAAAACAGAGACTAATTTTTATAGACTTCAAAAGAAAAAGGCACCTAAGAGAAGCGATGAGAAGTAAAGCAAGTACACAAGACTTCTAAGACAAAACTAGGA